CTTGTACTTTATAAATATGTATCATAATGACTTAATTTTATTTTCATGATTAAATACACGTGTTAAGAAAAAGTTTGGGGTGTTCTCTACACCCCGCGAGTGACGATGGTAGAAAAACAAGCGCAAGTAACCGCGGGTTAATAAAGAAATTTTGCTCATCATCATCTTGATTCTAAAATGATAGAACATGGCAATACAGTTCATTTTTGAAGTCATGCTTCTTTTGGGGCGTTAGAGAAATGGAATGAGGGTAAATTTTTACAATGCGTGCGCACACCGTCACGGATACGAATTGATCGATTGATTATTAACGTCGCACTGTTTAGCTACACGAGGGCTTTTGGCGACGGACCACGTAGTTTTGAACCATGGTCAAGGGACGTGGACGACACCTGTGTGTGTGTGTGTGTGTGTGTGTTGTGTGTGTGTGTGTGAGTGTGGTGTGTGTGTGTGTGTGTGTGTGTGTGTGTGTGTGTGTGTGTGTGTGTGTGTGTGTGTGTGTGTGTGTGTGTGTGTGTGTGTGTGTGTGTGTGTGTGTGTGTGTGTGTGTGTGTGTGTGTGTGTGTGTGTGTGTGTGTGTGTGTGTGTGTGTGTGTGTGTGTGTGTGTGTGTGTGTGTGTGTGTGTGTGTGTGTGTGTGAGCTGGCACCAGTCTCTCATAACTACCACACCACACCAACGGGAGGACGTTTCAGCTCTCGACAGATTTAACGTGCATCGCTGCCCTACACGGTGGGTCTTTAGTGGTACTGGGCACGAACTCGTGACAAGGCAAGTCACGGTCCGATACCTATACTTCACGGATACGAAAATGCTTTGTCTAGAAATATACAGAACGGGTCACAGATCATTTCCCCCTTCGAAATTCTCAAAAAAATATTTCTCCTCACTTCCTTGAAGAAGGGGACACCCGTGTTTGAACCAGAGACCTCTCATTCTGCAGTCGAATGCTCTACCATTGAGCTATACCCCTTCCCCCGTGTCAGCAAACCATTGCTTTGCGTTCCGTAGGAATGGATACGAAAATGCTTTGTCTAGAAATATAAAGAACGGACAGACCATTTCCACCTTCCACAGTCTGATCGAACCCCCTTCTGTTAGTGGTCCTATTGTCCCTTGCGGGGGTGTTTAAAATTATTTAAATCGTGATTATCTCGGTTTTGGCTGGTCCGATTTTGACAAGGTTAGTATCGTTCAACTCTGCTCGTGACCGCCTTTCGTCCTTAGCCCAGTCTGCCCTGCTAAAGATTTTTAGAAATATTTTAATCTAGTTACGCCAAACAAGTATAACTTCTTACGTGCGTACATAAGTACACACAATCTTTTTTTTGGGGGGAGGGGGTTCCAAAAAAGATTTTTTTTTTAATTTACAGCATATAATGATTAATTTGTATCATTATACGAAACATGGAGAGCGAAGAGGACAAAAGAACTCATCTACAACTCCGACTAAGAGTTTTTTATGTTATGAATTTTAGATTGTTCAGTTAGATATTAGATGGTCAGAGAAATAAAAACTGATTTTCAAATCAAATTTATTTTCCTAATTCACAGTAAATAGCCCAATTTAGAATCTCACGATTCTCACTATTCTAAATATATCACAAATCCGATTATTAAAATAATATTTATTTTATAGAACTATCACCAATGAAAGCATTGATTTAAACCTATTAAAACAAGCGTAGTCAACTTGTTTTGACTCGCCGGCCATCATTACAAATAATAATTAAAATAAATTAAACCAAACAGTGGCAGCTTTATTCAATTTGATTTTTTACGCTAATTTTATATCATCTATAGTTCCAAGCACATTTAATTTTAGAATCAGTTTAATGAGACAAATGTGTACCCTATCATACTTTTCTACATTTTTTTTTAAATCAGGAGTGTGATTTCTTGCTTTAATCCTCCTAGTTTATGTCATCTTGTTGTATTTGCATCTATATATTTACTCTTGTTGATCTTCATGCAAGAAACTCTTTGCTCACAAATATATGTGGGAATCCAACCGAAATCTTCCAAAAAAGTTAGATTCTCCAGATAGCGGGGGTTTTATTGGAGTGGTATCTAGGGATTTTTTAAGTTGCATTGAATAACTTTGAAAAGATAGACGACACAATTTAAAGAAAGAAACTTGTTGCAAACTAAATAATTTATTATGAATTTTAGGGGAGCATTTACAGGGGGAATATTTACAGAATGGAAATTAGATAGGCATATTTTAAAGAATAGGAAGATTAGAACAATTCCTCGGAGGAGGACGGTAGAGATTAAATAAAACTCATTATATATATATGCGGTGCTAATGTGACTTATCGCCTGGCGCGGGTGAAAGGGCGCTGATGCGTGAAAAACGATGCTTCGCAGTCGGGTGTTAGTGGGCCTCTTCCCAAAAAGGTTGATGTCGGCGTTTTAGTAAGCATGCTAGATGGCGTTACTGTGGAATACTGTTTTGATTAAATTGCCGTCCTCTGCAAAGGGATATAATCTAACCTTTTACACATGGGATATCCAACATATATATGCCGAATAACATATAAAGAACAATTTCTTCGCCAAATGTCTTCATGCATAGAAATTTTGAAATAGAATGAGTGTCATAGCATTAAACATCTTCATACTGTGATCTGAATTCAAGTCAATAAGTTCACACAAGCCGTAGCTCCTCTGGTGCTGTATTAATATCAATAGTAGTGTCATAGCACAGCAAATTGAATTTAGGCTCGATTTTCTTAAAATCCTGAAATCTTCTTGTGGTCTCATCCTCCAAACTGTGCAGATAATCTCTTAGTAGAAAGGTACTTTGTTCTTCTAATAAAGGCATTAAGGAATCATGTTTTTCTCATAAGGACCGATCCTAGAGTGTCGGCCGGCTGCGTGCAAAGACTTAATGAGCCGTCCCTTTAGAGAATGTTTCATATTTTGACTAATACTTAATGTTGACGTTATTAACTCATCTACATATATAAAAATAAAAAAGTAATACATTAATCAAAATGCATATAGATTCAAAAATCACTTCTTTCAACTATTTTGTTTTTCTAAATTGTAAGGCTGTTATTAAATTGAAAACTTTTATTTTTCCCCAATTGCATATTGAATTTATAAACACTCTTATTATCTTAGGTAATATTAACCATATTAGATATCTTCGAGGCAACTTTCTCAAATATGGATCCAAAGTGCGCCGCCAGTACCATTGTCAAGCAAAAGAACTTTTCTGTTGGTATTGCCGGCTCTGGCAATTTTGCAAAAAATGAAGGATGTGTATAAAGAGTAGGCATTAGTGGACTATGTGGATCAACACACTGAGCACTAACATTCTTTTTTTCTTAAGGTATCCAAATACTTGTGACAACTCTATTTTTTTTAAAAAAATGGAAATTGAGAGATTTTTTTTGGGGTTTTTTCTTTTATTTAGTTTTTAAAAAAAAAAAAAGGCTAAAATTAAAAAAGAAAAATAAAATTATTACTTTTTTAAAAAGGGGGAAAAAAATGGGTAAAATTGCCCAAAAATTACAAAAACGGGACCCCTTTGTAATTGGTAAATGCAAATTCAAAATTTTTTTTAAATTTTTGATGTATTATTTTGCTATTCCTTTTTGAAATGAACTTTCAGGAAAAAGGGTGTTTTTTAAATTTTTTAAGAAACAAGATATTTTTTTAAAAAAAAATTTTGGCTTAAAAAAAATGATTATATTCCATAAAGAAACTGTAAATATTGTAATAAAACGAGATTGATAAATAAAAAGGGTTAAAAACACTTCTAAATATTATACAAAAAAAAAAAAAAAATTTTAAGCAAATTTTTTTAAAAAAACTTTTTTGAGCAATCGCTGTCCTCTTTTTGAGTTTTTCCCAAAAAAAAGGGTTTTAAATTTTGACATTTTATGTTAATTTTGGCATCTGCTTTTACCAAAACCTTTTTTTTTGGTTTAAAATGAATGGAAAATAAAAATACCGGTATTTTTAAAATTTTAAAAAAGATGGCCTATAAAAAAAAATCTTAATAACTTTTGTCAATTTTTTAAAAAAATCATGTTTTTTGGGGTAGTCAGATCCCTTTAAAAGGGTATGCTATGTTAGGGGGAAATCGGGATTTAAATTTTGATTTTCAACAACTTTTAAAATTCGGCATATTTATTCGACTTATTTTTGTTTAAAAATTTCCCAAAAAAATTTTGCTTGACTGATTGAACTATACACGGACTTTGATGGACCTTATTTTTGGTCCCCCCTCCTGCGGGGTGCCCCCGGCCTTTTTTAAAAAAAATTGGGCCCCTTGTTTTTCACAGTGAAAAGTAAAAGACGAATCTTTTATCGTGCACGGAAAAAAAATCTCGTTTAAAACGGATTTTCTGATTGTTTGAGTGGGCCGCATAAAAACTCTTTTCAGGCCGCATGTAGCCTAAGTTCTTGACCACCCATGTCTTAGAAGGGTTCTTTGCCCCAGCAATTGGTAGAAAGGGAAAAAAATATTTTTCCCAATATAAATACGTAAAATTAAACTCGAGTGGACTCCTTTAATAAAAAAAACCTCTCAAAGGGAAGGGGAAAAAGGGGGCTATAATTCTTGCAACACCAATTAATTCAATCACTCGGCATTGATACCAAAATTTAAATATCTGTGCTGAATTAGCTTAGGGAATATAATTTATCATACTTGATAACGTTCAGGAAAAATAAGTTACTAATATTGTAGTACAAATTAGTAAGTTAACGACATACAAAATAATTTCTCTATGATAAAACTTACTCAAAAATTTCTTATTAATGTATTTTTTCTTGAAGTAATTGAAATTTTTTCCGACAAAAATAAGGTTTCCAATAACACCTTCGTAAGACACTCTTAAAAGTTGCATAATTTTAGAACCTGCATTTAATAGTATTCTCACAAATTTTCCTACCTACTTCGGAATGAATTGGCTCTATTTCCTTAAAAAAAAATTACAATAAAATGACAATATTTGAAAACAAATTATGCGATAAAACATTCAGATTTTGTTTTAATTGATTTTATAAGGGAATATTTTTTATAATACTACCATCGTTTAAAGTCCATAAAATTTCTGAAAACTTTCATTTGAACAATCTGATTCAATTTCACTCTATAAAATGCATATGTTTTAACAAAATGCGAAGAGAAAGACACAGTCAAAATAAATTTTCTTAGGCAAACGAATTTCCTCCTACGATTCAGATTTACTTTTTAAAAAAAATTTGAAATGGATGTCTATTTTTCCCCCCAAACGTTTTCCCCAACTAGTTTGGGGGAAAAATTGCCTATACTTTTTTCTGTAAAAAGGGAAAAAAAAAATGACGGGTGCCCGGGGGGCTTTAGATTTTTCCCCTACTGATTTTAAAATTTTTGGGAAGGGGGGGTGGGGAAAAAGGGGAAACTTTAAAAAACCCGGTTTCCCTTTGTAAATGTATTTTGTTTATTTAAATCGTCTTTCTCATTTTTTTCCCGGAATATTTTTTGAAACTAAAAATATATTAAAAATCAATTTGTTTTTCCCCCCAAGTGGGGTTTTAAAATTTTTTAAAACATTTTTTCTTCTTTTTGAATAGTTTTTGAAGTCACAAAATTGTTATTTTCTAGTATGTTGTTCGTTTCTTTTAAAATCGTTGAGAAAATGGACTTTTGAAATAAAGCCTTCCAAGTTTTTGTGAATGATACAAGATACTCTCCACCGTTTTATTACAGGTAATCTCTACTTTCATACCAATGCTGCATTCTTTTTTACATCATTTCATACAACATTAAACTGTCCTTTCAATAAAATTTTAGAATCATTGTATTCAATATTTATTCAAACACATCAAGTTTTGTTTAGCCAAAGCGATATATATATATATATATATATGTATATATATATATATATTATTTCTGTGAACTTTAGAGATTACTGTTATCTATATTTCACTTTATTGCAACTTGATGCTTTATACCTCTGAAACTCATTTTTA